AACCCACACAAACCAACTTTGTTTCTCAAAAACAGAGGGATCATCTTTATTCCATTTTTTACTGAAAATCAGGAGTATGATGAAAGAACAAGAAAAATCTGACAAGCTACAGAAATTACTTTTAATTAATTTTAATTAACCAATTAATAAAGTTACATTAAATAAGATCTCTGATAATATTAACTTTATTTTCCTTTAATTTGAGTTGCTACCTTCATGATCAGTTTACCAGGGAACACATACAAACATATTGCCTGAGTTACCTGAAACAAAGCATTAGACAGGCATGTAAAAAAAAAAAAAAGTAAATTTTAAAAATCACCTAACACCCAAGATGCACTAGCAGAGAAAAACCAAATTCTTCTCAAAATAAGTACTTATGCTTTCGCCTTCTTGATATAACCAAAGATCTAAAAATAGTCATAGATTATAAAATCATTTGTTGTGCCTTATACTGTTAGTTTTAACTGCTTACATACTGAGCCTTCCAGCAAGAGTCATGTACTGTTGTTAACCTTGGGAATAATATAACATGAAAACCCACTCAGAATTTTAAAAATAACACTTGCAGAAAAATCTCTGTAGCATAACTAGTTCAAGTCTTAAAACATTTAACCAAAACCATTAAAGAAAATCTGACTTGTTTTAAATATGAGTAAAATAAGAAGACCCTTGTAAGCTTCTGAACAGGAAGGATCCACAGACTTCTTCCTAACCGAGTATGCTTTACAAGCATGCACAGGTCATTCAGCAGTAAAAGAATGAAGCACGTTGATATTGACTTGAACAGGCTTAACATGTGGACCACAACACACTAGCCTTTTTGCCTCTCTTTTTTCACAATTGACTACACCAGGCAAATAAAATCTTCCCACATCATTCAACAGTTTATGGAGACAAGACGTTTCAAGACAGAAAATCAGGGCTCACAACAGTGACTAAACAGCTCACCCAATAAAAGCTGTTTTCATCTGGTCCCATTCCAAAGTGTTAACATACTACATACAGCACGTCTCACCCTTTATCCAAGACATGATGTACCACCACTGAGTAATTTTATGGTAAGCCAACCAGTTTCATACTAGGTGTTGCCTTGGAATACAACTGAAGATTTTTTTTTAATCAAAAATCAGGGAAATTGAGCAAAATATCTGAAAAATGCAAAGAAGCTGCACTTCTATCAAGGCAAAAAAATGGTTGAAGCAAACTTGCTCCCAATATACTGGGAACATATTTTAACCTTTCTCACACTAGCCTTTAAAAATCCAATTGCAAGCAATAAATGAAATACTTAATTCTTAGCCCAGTATATCAAATCTCATGATTCCTCATGATATAGACTTAGATTTCTTAGATGTTTCAAACAAATCAGCTCAGGCAAAGTATGCTGCAGCTAATGTGTGGGTGTTTCTATAGAGCTTCATTATGCTTTTTGAAACAAAATGAACAGAAGTCCAGAATACACAAGAGACAAGAACTAAAGCAGCTTCTAGTCATCCTTTCATATCAGGGCTAAAATTGTAAAAACTCCTCCTTCAGTGGTAACTGTCTCACATTTAATACCTGGTCTCTAGTTAAGACTGGAAATATTCTGTTTGGATTCCTGACCTTGTAATGGTCTAAGGATGAAAGTAGAATGTAGAGTCATGTACCTTTTACTAAATTTGTTAAAACCAATGAGCATATGAAGGGGGCAGCAATGTTATAGGTGTGGTTTTTTAAAATGAGATTGGCCACACCACCCTGCCACTCCCCCCAAGTTGGAACACTGTCATTTCTTACTGTGTTCTGTAGCACAATTTCATTTTTGCTTTGGATTAAATTTTTAAACATAGAACTCTCACAACAGAGTTAATTTTACAGAGCATTTCTACGGAAAAGGCACCTTTCCTCCAAGAATTTTCTCACCTACAACACAGGGTTGCAGTATTCCTAACTTCACTTTTACATAGCTTAATTTTTTCTACAGTACATGAATAATGTGCTGGTGACAGTGTAAACTTTTCCCCAAAAAACCCTCAACTATTCAGCCTCAACACCAAGTCATTATTCTGCATATATGCCATGGCACTTAAATAGCATCCTTACTTTCTGAAATGTCTCTAGGACTAAATCCAGAAGTGACAAAAACCTATAATGTTTTAATATGCTACATGTTTCACCTTACCAATTCAAAATAGTAAAAAAATCTGGAGACTATGAAATATCAGCCTTCAGAAACATGTCTTACATCTTACATATTCAACATGCTTGGAAATAAAATGGTCTCAGTATAAGCAAGTACAAGAGTAGCAGGGAGGGGTGGGGAACGAAAAAAAAAATCTGTGAGTGCACAAGTTTCATTAAGCATTAATTGCTCTCTGTAATATATTCTTAAGCATACACAGAGTCAAGAAAGCACACTGGGAAAGTGAGGCCAAATACCCAACAGCTTAAGTTAACTAATGAGATAATTAGAGGTCCAAAACAGGTTTAATACTAAAATCACATACAACTGGGGTTTGTAAAGAAGGAGCAGTAACACTGATACGTAGCAATCCCAGCCTTATTACAAGCAGCTGCCTCTAACCACAATATAATATAATCTTTGACAAATGTTATCTACAGAGGGGACAAGGCAACCATAAGACAACACATGGACTTGAAAATTAATTTAATGCTACAGCATTCTTGGGTTCTGGTTGTAGGTTTCCTACTCTGTCCACCCTCCCTCCACCTCCTTCCCTCCTATACACTAGGTTGATTTCAGACTCGTGGTCAAATAATGAAATACTCTACCAGGAAAAGTCTCAAAAAAGCCATACAAGAAAAAAGGATTCAGTCCTTGAAGAGAAGATCAATGATATACAGGGCATACTTCTTTAATTGCTTGATGATGAAACAGCAGCAGTTACAGTATTATTTAAAAACAGCTTTTAAATACAACTTCAAAAGGAGAAGCCAAATGGGATAAAACAATTTCTTTCAGCTGAGGAAACAGCAAATAAGATTGTTTACAAATAATGTCTACAAAGTACAAAACACTGTGTTTGGAAATTGAAAGTTTCAGATCCAAAACTGAAATGTTCAAAGAAGTTTGTAGGACATACTTAGTATATTCTGAGATATTTTAATTGATGAATCCCTGCTTTTGTGAGTAACTGAAAGCAATAAAAGTGTTTCAACAAATGTGAAACCCAAGCACATTTTTATCACCAAATTTTAATTTTTGTTTGATTTTCAGAAGTAGGAGGATACACGCTGAATCAGTATGAATTCAAGGATCTGCCCAGTATGAATTCAAAAACTTGAATTAAGAATATATATTTTAAATCCCATATACAGGATAACTGAGTATTTCAGATTAGAAAAAGCTGTTCTAATTTTCCATTGTGGTAAGACAGCACATCATGCATTTTAAATACATACTGAAGCTTTCCATACTCTTAATAACATTCTGTGTTCTTAAAATGTTGTAGTCAAATTCTTATCCAGGCCACTATAAAGAATACCACAGGTATAGTCTATACTTCTCTACCCACAGTAAGGGGATAGCAGTAAATTACAGTAAAATCTGGTGTTACATTTAACTGTACAACACTACTAATTAGAGAGTAATTTCAACAATAAATATTTGGTTAAACTCTGCTTTGTCATCAGTGCAAGCAATTTAAGATGAAACTGATCTTTCAGAGAGTCTGTGGGGTTGTTCTGGTTTTTTGTTGTGGTGTTTTTTGAGTCTATTTTTATTTTCTGGTTACTGAGTGTCTTTTCCTATTAAACAGTTTTCCAGAGCTACTGCTTAGCAAACAGAAAACCACATAGACAATGTCAGAAGTAAAAGGGAAGATTCAAGCCTGGAGGACCATGGCAATCCACAGTTCTCTTTAAACTGTCCTTAGCTAACCCTATTTTACTACTCAATGGCAAGATCTTCTAACAATGATCTTACAGAGCACATAGGCTGCGTGACTTAGCAATAGCAAGGTAAGCTAAAAGACAGGCTTTATCACACCCTTCAGAAAGAATACAGGGAAGAGAAACCAAGATACAGACAAATATGAGTCCTATGGTAGATACAATATCAAGTAAAACACCCAGTTAACCCCCTAGACACTGACAAGTCACAAGTTTTTTAAAAGAGAGGCTCTTCCTGCAATTCCTCACAAGAACTCTCTGATGAGCCATACTACTATTAATAAAAGCACTACAGAGATGAACAGTAGTAGTACCTTATCTCCTTGAGAAAAAAAAAATCCAATAAAAGAAACAAGCAAACTACCACTACCTGCTTCTGAGAATCTGCAGAGACATCAGTTTTTACACAAGAGGACAGCTTCACTGAAGTCGGGCCTCAAAAGCATCCCATACTTTAGTGCAGTCACGAAAACATTATGCCATCAAAGGCAGCTGTGATGTGCACAGCAAAGGGTTGGCATCCGACATTCTCTTTTACAACATCAACTCAGAGTTGTAATGCAGTGTTTGTGTAGTGCCTCTAAGACATCAGACACTACAGCAAGTTGAAAAAAACCTTTTACCCCAAGTCTATTAAAAGAAATAAACCTGCATTCTTGCTGAGTTGTCCCACCTGCAAGTCTATAATCTCATAGTATACATGGAACATACTTTCCTTATTTCACTAGCCAAACAGAACAGCTATTTTTGGATTACCAATAGTAATTTATCAATATTCTGTTGATATGGCCTTCACTTAGTCTGTAAATCTTTACAAAGTTCTCAAAGACAAGGTGAAGTCTATGGAACAAATAAGTTACCAGCAAAATTACCTTCACAGAAGAGTGCACACCACAAAGTTCTTAAGTAGAAGTCAAAACATTTACTCTATCATCTAGATGTTCTTTTCTATATACTATCACAAAACTGACAACTCAGGATATGTAAATTTATCACGTCAATAGCTAAAGTAAATGGGAACCTGAAACAGAACACAAAAGGCTGTCTATTTAGTAAATTCATACAATGAATCTTCTGATCTAAAAAAATAAACTACAAATTACCTTTCACTTCAGTAGGAATCTTGATTTGTAGAGTGATATCAACTATGACAACGGGATAACAGCACAGTACCTTGCTTGCCTGTAAGGGAATAATTAAGAGTCACCTAAAAGCAAAAAATTAACCCACCAAATAAATTAGAAAACCAGATAAGTGAAATTGAACAGTAATAAAATGATAAACATTTTGAAAATGTGAGCACCCTGACAAAGAGAAAGAAATCCCGCACCCAATCATTTAACTTGCACTTGGATTTTTGTCTCTTAACAAAATAGAAGTGCGGCAGTTTATTTTAAAGGCTAACATCCTTTAAATTTTAAAGTAGTCTGCTTTCAAAATAGAAGGCCAGAAATAACCCCTTACAATGCAGTTTGACTTCTTGTATAGCCCAGATTACAACAATCAGATGCTTCCACATCCCCTTTTTTTGCTCCCATCCTCCTTCCTGTGTCCACCCATTGTGCGAGTACACAATGAAGAGTTTTCCAACAGTGCTTTTCTTGGGTTAATTTTGCTTGCAATGAGGAAGACAGCCTACCTTCCCTCTCCTCACTTCCACCTATTTAAGGCCAACTCCAGAATGAAATCACAGTTCGACTTAGTACATCTTCCTCAGGAAAGTATTCAACCTTGCTTTAGAAGTATCTAGTGGCAAATATATCACAACCTACAATCTTTAGTAAAATTACTTTTAACCTACTGAAACTTACACACAGTACGCTAAAATGCAGAAAACTTCCTCTTTCAAAAATTAGAGTAGAGCTACACATTACAGGCACAACTATTAAAAATATAAACAATTTAGATCCTTTTTCTGCTAGTGAATACTTTCATATCTCTCATCCATGTAACAAGCATACCTACCATCATTTTATTTTGTTCTCTCTCTTTTTAATCCTAAAATAGATCAATCTTTTATATTAAAAAATACTTCCCAGGTTAAGGCCAAAAGGCCAGTTCAAAAAGGAACCCCCACAAGCACCAACTACATAATTTTTTACCTTGTTATATATTTTAAACATTTCTTATGAACCTAGTTTGATTTTTTTGAACATCAGCTTAAATTGAATGTATGCCCAAATTATTTACCACAACCCGCAATACCTCCTTTATATGTCTGTACTTCCCAGAACACTTTTCTATTCTCCATCTATGATCCACATTCTTCATCTTTAAAACACAATGTGGGAGCTGGTCCCATGAAAAAGGAATATTCTGCCTATATCCACACTCACAAACTGATTCCAATCATACTGGCTACTAGAAGTAATACAGTTATTCTTCAGGTTACCTTCTCTAAATGAGAGCTCCTCAGTGATGCCACTGAATCCCCATTAAAACATCAGGAAGACAAACTAGCTTCAGAATGCTACCTGTGTAGCCCTTGAATCTAAAAAAAATGTATTAATTTACTGCAGTTACTGGAAAATTATCCAAGCAGAAGTGGAACAAAAGGTCTATTTCCCCATGAATGAAGCCTGAAGTTTATTTCACACAACCCTGGATGTTATAAGAACTTTGAAGTCCCTCTCTTCTCCACTATCAACAAATGCCCAAAGAGAATATGAGTATTTTTGAAAGTCTTGTCTAGACCATTTAAATTATATTTTTACACTGCAAGCTCATCTACCACAGATACAAATTGTTGGCAGAAATTTTTGAGATCAATAACCTCAGAAAACACTGAAGGGAAGGTAATTTTCTAAGCCCAAAGGTAATGAAACTCAGCAGAATGTTGCAATTCAATCAAAAGAAGGCAGCTCAACTTCCCACCAAGAGGTCAAGAGCAGACAAAGCAGCATGGCCAGCAGAAATGGAAACTTGTAAGGGAGGAGAGCAGCAGCTGAAGCAGAGCACTTCTGCTGAACACCCTTCCAGGGCCACTGCTGCATAACCCAGGGTGCCACCAAACTGCTTCTGTTCTGTAACTGGTTGGCACTGTAACTTAGGGACGCCGTTTCTCTGCTGTTCAAAGCATGATGCTAAAGGACACAGCTTTTCTTTTAGACAGTCTCGCAAAGAAGCATTTCCTCACTCCAACCTCGGCAGGACTGGACACACACAGGTTTATGAGAATTTGCTGAAGGCTGAAGTCTGTAGAGCCGTACTTGTTGCATTTCGCTAACACTCTGGAAGCACCCATGACAGCAGACAGAAAAGAAGGCCATAAAGCTAAGAAAATGAATATATGTGCTTTAAAGCAAATATAGAATATATCATTTAAACAAAGTCTTGGAGAGCTTTATAAGAAGTAAAAAACACGCCAAATCAACAGCTTGCTAGTTTTTACTGGTATCAAAGCGCCTTAAGTTTACTTTAGCTGGCTATTACTTGTTCTCTGGCAGTGATTTTTTTTGGAAGGTGGAAATCATAATCATTACACTGACAAACCCTCAAAAGAACTCCCTTCACGTCAATCAGCAATCCTTCTAGCCACACACATGTGTGGACAGCACTATTAACATCAAAAGGGATTAAGTTCAACTCAGTGGGATCTTTGCCTGGGGAAGAACGCTGCGCACTAAAAAAATTTTACCACAGTGTTAACAGCTCTTTTGAGTGCATTCAGACTTCAGAATACTGTAATCAAAGCCTTACAAAGAACAATAATAGGAAAAGAACTTTGGACCTAAATTTATAAATAAAAAACTTTTTTTTTTAAAGATCTCAGTGCATAATGCTCAGAGGTTGAGTCGTCACATCTTGAAAGGAAGCCTTATTTTAAAACAGTAGACACAAACCATGTAAGAGGATTCTACACTTATTTTTACCCTAATCCTGAAGGGAAGGGAAATTAGGGATGCGAAGTCTTCCTCGATTTCACTCCCTACCCGATTCTTGGCAAACAGCCTCAGTGCGGGGGCCTATTTAGCTCATTTTTCTGCAGTTGCTAACTTACAGACGAAAGAAAGGCACAGCCCAAGATGCAAACAGATGAAGTTATCAGGAGGAGAGGAGTGGTGCTCCGGGAGGACGGGAATTGGGAAACCAACCACTTCTCTTCACGCAGCATTCACGCGACGGGTGCGGGAAAGGCACCACCAGCCAACGGGACAGATTTAGTCGGGGAAAAGCACCCCTCTCCTTGTGGCCCAGATCAGAGGCGGGCGAGCCAAGAGCGCGGCAGCTGCGGGCACGGCAGGGACCGCGGGAGCCCGCGCAGCGCCGGCCGGGCGCGCCGAGCTGCGGCCGGAGGCGGCGGGGAGGCTTGGAACCGAGCAGCGAGGCGCGGCCCCGCACGGCTCGGCTCGCCGGGACCAGCGCCCAAGGCTGCGGGAAAAGGGAGGGAGGAGCCAGCCCCGCCAGCCGCCCCGCTGCCCGCCCGGGGCGGAGAGGCTGCGGCTCGGAGCCGCTCACAGCCAGCCCCGCCAGCCGCCCCGCTGCCCGCCCGGGGCGGAGAGGCTGCGGCTCGGAGCCGCTCACAGCCAGCCCCGCCAGCCGCCCCGCTGCCCGCCTGGGGCGGAGAGGCTGCGGCTCGGAGCCGCTCACAGCCAGCCCCGCCAGCCGCCCCGCTGCCCGCCCGGGGCGGAGAGGCTGCGGCTCGGAGCCGCTCGCCCCCGCCACCCCCGGACGCGCGTCCTCGGGGCCGCTGCCGCCCCCTGCCGGCCGCCGCGCTGACAGCCCCCATCCGCCAGCCCCGCCGCCACTCGGGGCCGGCACAGAAGAAGGGAGGGAGGGAGGGGGCCGCTCTACCCGATCAGCCGGGCCGGCCCCGCCCGCAGCCTGCGCATCCCGCGGCAAGCGGAGCGGACCAGTGAAAACGGCGACGGATACGCGGCAAAGCGGCCCCCAGCGCAGCGCTGTGGCTGCCCGACCCCCTCCGCCCCGCCATCCCCCGCTCCCCATTGCCGGCGTAAGTCGCGCTCCCCCGGGACCGCTCCCACCAGTACCTGCCGCTCGCACGGCCACCGGCGCCCGCACGCTCCCGAAGTTCCCGGCCGCGGCCGTCAGCCCAGCCCGGGAGAAAACCCCGCCGGCCCCGCCCCCCGGCCAATCCGCGCCCCGCCCGCCCCCGCGCCCCGCCCCGTCCCTTCCCGGCCGGGCGGCTCTGGCCCCGCCCCCGCTCTAGCCGCGCCGCCATTGGCTGGCGCAGCCGTCAATCTCCGCAGGCAGCGTATCACCCCCGCCCGCTCTTCCTAGGCCGTTTCCAGCGGCCGCTGCCCGTCGGGGCTGCGGTTTTAGCCCGGGGCAGGGACGGGCTTCGGGGGCGTCGCCGCAGCGTCGGCATCGCACCGGAGAGGCACTGTCCGGCAGCGCCGCTGGCGAGCCATGGCCCCGGGCGAGTCCGGGCAGGGTGGCACGCTGCCGCTGTCCCGCGGTGCCTCCAAGCGGAATGAGCTCCGGCGGCACCGCGGGAGCGGAGGGGAAGCGCTGACCCCTCCCGGCTCTCCGCAGCCCCCGGCAGGTGCCGCCGCCAGCCGGGCCCCGCGCGCGGTCGGCACGGACACACCGCCGGGAGCCCCGCGGGATCGCCGCGGGGCGGGGCCGGAGCGACCCTCCCGTGCGGGGAAGGGCAGGGTCGGGACTGGGATAGGATCGGCACTCGTGGGGACCTGGCCGAGAACAGGAGCCAGGGGCTTCCATGTCCTCCTGAGGGACTCCGGGAGTGAGGTGAAATGACAGCATCGAGCGGGGTGTAAGGAAAAAGTTACTCATGCTGCGGACAGCTGGGCCGTGGGAGTGGGTTCCGCAGGGATTTCCACTCCCAAGCAGATGCAGTCCTGAGCAACCTGGACTGACCACGCAGCTGGCCTTGGTGTTGAGCTGGAGGTTAAGTGAGAGGCCTCCTTACAACCTGCATTTTCTAATGGTGTTTGGATGTGTGTGTGGATTCTGACTGCTAAAATCCTGGATATGAAAAACTCATGGCAACTGCTGTGCTGCACAGGCTGCAGACCCTGGGAGTGCTATGGAAACAGAAAATTATTTACATTGTGTGCAGTCATACTGATTTTGCAAAATGCAGCACATAATATATGTTGCCTGTACAAGTTCACCCCTTTCATGCATTATAACCTAAAGTTAACCACAGACTTCTTGCCTAACCTTCATGTGTACCAGGCCATGCCTTTTTTTACAGTGCATAGAATAGCTTTTTCTACTATGGAGCACAGCTATGTAGTAAAATGAGGCAATTTATATGTAATGCCTGTGTAATTGCTAGGAAAATTAGAAGTCAGGGATCATGATCATGACTGAGGTTGCTGACTGTTCTTTACAGAATTCTGAAAAAATTGTAAGATACCAAGTTTGCTTTCTCAAAAATCTCTGTGTGATGTCATGTAACATAGCTTTAATCTGATTTTTTTTGTGAAGAGGTTGAGGCACGTGTTTTCACAATGCCAATCATGAGATGCTGGGGTTTCATTTAGGGTAGTCTGCTAGTGAAAATTAAGTTAACAGGCAATACACCGTTTGATAATGTGGAACGTCAAGAAATCAAGTCCTATTTGACACCGATTAATATTTTTTCTTAAATCTAAGTGCTTCAGAAGTAAAAGCAGCCATGCAGCTCATAGGAGGTTGCTCTTAAAGGAGATTAATGTAAGCAGAAAGAAGCAATGAGTTGGCAATGAATAGAGAGCAAGCACTATTAGGTATCTGTGCTTAATTTCACGTGTTCATTCTGCATCCACTGGAAGAGGTTAGGGACCAGTAATTAAAGAAGGAATTATAATGTATATGCACAAGTAGTTTTGATTTGTTCCAGATATATTGCTTGATGTTGTAATCTTCATGTTTTATGTATTACACTGCATAATTTAAATAAAGCTGATGAATTATTTTTAGTATCTCTTGCTCCACATTCAAAAACAGCACTAAAAAAGCCTTTTGACTCTTTCAAAGAGGAGATGATGGAGTGTCATTTTTCTTTTTCAGGAAAACCCATCACTGCATTTTTTAATTTGATACAGCAGATGCTACAATTACCACAGCACCACTGGGTTAGGGTTTTATCTCTAGATTCTTTCTATATGCAGAGCAGACTCTAAAATTCTGATATTTTCTGGTTCATTCTGCAGATGCTCTAACATCACTAAGCATGAAGAATGATAGCAGAATACATGCCTGTTTCTCAAGAAAATAATACAGCAGCTTCCCGTGCATGCCTAAAACCAGTAACTACTACTGTAAAAGACTTAACTTATGGGTGCAATAAGAGACACTTGGTCTCTGCTGCTTTCAGAGGCTTCCTAAGTTTGCACCATCCCAGCTGCTGTCTGTCATTGCCAGTACTTGTGTGGCTGCCAGTCTTTAATACCATTGGCCTGAGCAAATGTAATTGACACAGTACTAAACCAACTGCCCCTGCTACAACCTTGTCTTCATTAAGGTTTCCAATGTTGCTAATACTGGTGGAAATGACGGCAATGAACTTTCCCTAGATTAGAAAATTCAGGAAAACGTCAAAGGAACTGCTTCTTTTTTCCTCTTTTGTCAGCAAGACTTGGACATTTATGCTCAGAATCCCAATTAGAGGTACCTCCCAGAGCTTTATTTACTCTCATATTTCTTCTCACACTGGTTTTAGGACATTTGTTTCTGGAGAAATCTGCTGCCCTATTACAAACTTTGCTTCTCTGATCTGCAGTTTTGTAAGAGTAAATAGCCTGGCAGTTTCATTAAATTAAAAATAGATGTTGCCTTTCTTTAAACAACATTAAATGTAATATATGTTTTTGGTGTATGTGCTTTTCCTGAATTTTTATTGTGGGACAAACATGTCCTAAAGAGGAGAAGGATGTAGAGAATTTCTTAAGCAGAGTAATGGAACATCTGGGTGGCCAAATAAAGTCTGTGTCATTCTGTATGCAGCATGTCAGGTGGTGATTTTCATAGTCCTCTGATTTTCACAGAATGGGTGAAGTTCGACACAGTGTCTGATCCAACCTCCTTGGTCAAAGAGGATCATCCTAGAGCACAATGCCCAGGATATTTCTTAAATATCCATTGAGGGAGATTCCAGAGCCACCCTCACAGAAACAAAGTTTTTCCTCATATTCAAGTGGAACATACAACGTTTTTGGAACATGTAATGTGCTGTACTAGCACAAAAGCCATTAATGTAGTTTGAAGTATTTTTCTTGATCTCCTTTCCACTTCTCAGAGTTTATATCTAAATTTTGTGTAGGTGCCACAGTGATAAGAACTGTTACCAATCTGTTGTTGCAGTCAATATGCAAAATTTCTTTAAAGGGCTGATACAACCTACACGCTGTTTAAGAGATAGAAAGGCTGCAGTGTAGGAGCTGCTGCCTATGGACTATAAATCTATAATCAAAGTGGCTGTCTGCACAACTCTTGCACCATTTTGCTTCTTGGCATTCCCTAGATGATACTTTTATAATATTTGTTCTGTAGTCTCCACATTAATCTGTTGGCACAACCATGGACAGTGTCTGTTACAAAAGAAAATAAGGGGAAAATCGCCATTGCTAATTATAAACTATGTGATGTTAACATAAACAAGACATAAGGAAAAATACTTATGCTGCCTTCTTGTATGTAAAGATGTCTCCTTTTCAGAGATTTTGAAGAAAAAAATGAATGAGAAAAAGATCCCAGAAATGGCTGAAATAAACATAAGAAAACTGCCTAATTTATTCCTGGTAAAATAATATAACTGGTTTGGTTACATTTAGTTAGTTATATTTAGTGACTAACTGCAGTTACTCAGCAACATCATTGTGGTTTCTAAGTAGATTACTGAGTGGTTCCTAAGATGAGTAGATTCCTGAGTGGTCTGGAAGCTGGTCCTGAAAATTGTCTCTCTTTCTTCCATAAAGTTTTCTTATAGGAAAGAAGGAAGCTTCTAGGAGGCTGCTTTCTGGAACGGAAATGTATTTTTTGCCCAGAGGTTAGTTTGCTGGCAAATCTATTGGCATTCAGCAAGGTTCCAAGGCATTGGATTAATGGCTGAAAATATCTTCCATAATGAATAGAAAGAATCCTACAGCATAAAAATGCATGGTAGGAGAAGATCATTTTACCTACAATTTTACTGTGATAAAAATGCATAATTGATGAAGACACTTATCATGAACAATATTTTCAACCTGTTG